AAAACAGACAAGTGCCAACGGAAACAGGCAACGATTGGCTCAACTGATTTCCAAAGAGTTTTCCAAGCGCATTTGGCCCTCTGCGACGGGGTCCCGGAAAAAGTACTGTCCGACTTTCCAAAATGACTTGCCCGCTTTTCATGGGCAAACCACTTTTCCATCCGCAAAGCTGTGGGGTCCTTGCCTTAGAAGTCGCGTAACACACCGTGACTTTTGGGATGTTGTTCCTGTTTCACCTCAGGCTGGCCATTGAACCAGGGATAGGCTTGTCTCGGACTATGGATGGACCAGCGGGTCAGGGAGGAGTTTCCAACGAAGAACTTGCCCCCCCTCCCCTACTCTCTGGCCAGGGCACAAAATTCCGGCGGAAACTCCTCTCCTCCCATAGCACCTTTCCAGTGGGAAACCAATGTGAAAACACAAAATCTCGAATTTCCAGCTACCGTTTTCCAGACCGTGTGGTCCCCAAAAACCTCCCGGCCCTCCTAAAATGGGCTTTCCGGAGGGCCTGATCTGTCCAGTGGAGTCCGAGAAAAGTTTTTTCCACGCCGGTTTTTCCACGATTTTTCCCTGACAGTGTGGGGTCCAGGCCGTACTACCTTTCTCACTGTAACAGTTGGTGAAATGGAAAAAAACCTACTCATACAAATTCGAGGGGTGGTTCCAAAGGCGCAAAGTGGGCCCAAAGGGCCAAAGGCGGCCGCAGTTGATAAGGGTCACCAGATCCCACACAACTTACGGGCCCGACGCAACGGGAAAGAAAAATTGCATCGCACACACCCGTGCAAATACAAACTTTTACCATTAGTGTGCCATTTATTTTGGCGAAGCCAGCATGCTAGGCTTTGCTAGCCAACCAGGATGAAGAGAAAATACACACACACACAAAAAAAAAAAAAAAAAAAAAACAGAAAACAACATTCCACCTTTTTAGAGGCAGGGTATGGGGTGGCCTCTCTCACGATTCCCTTACTTCTGGCTCGGTGACATTTGTGTGCTCAGCGCCACAACTGCAAAAGTTTCTGACTTTCATCGGATGGCAGGATCCCGCATTTGTCGTAGATAGTGTGGGATCCGACCCTTAGGCTTGGATCCCACTATTGTTAGTGAGGCAATTTTGGATAAAGTTTCGGATCCCACAATGCACCGGGGCTTTCGGGACCCGAAACAAATTTCGCCTGTTTCTACTCACACTGTGCATCGTGTCGACCAGGCTGCGACACCCGCCGTGAAACGACATTTGTTTCGCAAAAGCCGCCAGCCCCCTGCCCTGTTCCCTAAAAGCTGCGAGCACCAAAAAAACGAAGTTTTTTTTTTTTTTTTCGTTTTCGGCAGCGTGATTGGGTCCGACGCAAATGGAAGCCCCTCGAAGGACGGGCCTGTGGAGTCCAAAAAATTTTTTACGGACCAAAAGGCAAGGACCCTCCTTTCGAGGGGCTTTTCCGATTTTTTGTTAAAAGGGCCATGTGGGATCCAAGCCTCAATCTCATCCCATGCCAAGATCACGCAATTTGCCAGAAAGTGCTTACCGAAAGTATTGTGGGATCCGACCCTAAATCTCATCGGCGACCGTCGTTTCGTTTCGGCCTGTGAAAACAAAGGGTATGGGAAAAGGTAGCCTAAAAGCTCGCTGGCCGGTTCCTCGACCAGTTTAGATCTCATCTCCGGTATGAGATCTGGGCCGAGGTCCCATTGGTTAGCAAAGAGGATGGGAATGCAGAAAAGCAGTTCAATCTCGATTTCCTGCACCTCCGGACAACACGTCCAGATTCAGGCATTTGATCCGATCCTCTTTGCTAGTGGGACCACGCTCCTGGAGATGAGATCTTCCTCTGGAGGCGTGTGAGTGTGCAAAAGCTCGCTGGCATGTGCCATGACGGATCAGATATTGAAGTGATCGAACAAATACGTTTTTTTTTTTACTTCATCTTAGCCAAAAGGCCGACAAAGGTATTCCCCTGTTACTTTTGTCCCTGCCTTGGAGTATTAGGCTGATTTAAAAAAAAAAAAAAAAAAAAAAAAAAAAAAAAAAAGAAGTTCTCTACCCTACTACGGCCTTCCCGGGTTGAATGGAGAGGGATGGAGAGGAAGGGGGGCGGAAGGGTGCCGTTGATAGGAAGGGAATTAACGAGGGTGAGTGTGGAGGGGAGAGGATTTCAGCGGGAGGGTCCCAAGGGAGGGGAAGGTCCGATGATGGTTGTCGAGGGAAGCCAGGAAAGATATACGGCAGTGCAGACTCTGCAGAGCATAGGGAGCTATAGTACCCAATGTTTTCTGAATGTGCTATGTCGTGTCTATTTGTATGATCTAAAGACCTGACTTAGCTTTTTTTTTTTTTTTTTTTTTTTTTTTTGCGACCACTGAGTTTTACTCTCTTTACTTTCTCGACGCTCTTCCGATCTCATTATGGGTCTGCAAGCTGCTTATGCTAATTTGCATACTGACCAAGAACGTGATGTCTTACCATTTATTATTATTATTATTATTATTATTATTATTATTATTATTATTTGATAAAGAAACAGATATCTTACCATTTCCAAACACACAGGGGTCTTTATCGACTTTGAAATTCCCAAAAAGAATAAATACGTTACTTCTTTCGCTGTGTAATCCAGCACCACAACAGCCGCAAGGAATGCTCCATGGAAGGCTGACATCGTCTGCCGGCCGGGCAGTCACCCGGCAAGTTCCTTCCACCGTCCAGTACTTGGTATATTATCAGACTCTGCTATCTATTTAGTATATATCCTTATCTATCTATCTATCTATCTATCTACCTATCTATCTATCTATCTATCTATAGTCTCTCTCTCTCTCTCTCTCTCTCTCTCTCTCTCTCTCTCTCTCTCTCTCTCTCTCTCTATCTATAGTATCTGTCTCCATTTATCAAAACATACAATATTCTCAGGTAGATGGGGAGTCCGAGACTGTTTTTTTTCATTTTCAGTATATCTATCTCCACCTCTTTTCCATATACCCATCTATCTCTATCTCTCCGTCTTTTCCTTGTTTGAAAAACCTCAGATAGTCATTGCGGCTGTTTTAAAAAACCTGCGCATCTATCTGCACCAATTTGTTTATTTATCTATCTATCTATCTATCTATCTATCTATCTATCTATCTATCTATCTATCTATCTATCTATCTATCATACCTTTGCCAAACAGGCCCACTGCCATGCCTTGTCTACAACGCAGCTAACGGCATGCTCACACTTCGACCTTCCTGGGCGTCGTCTAGCCTGAAGGCCCCTGAAGTCCACCCAGATGATCATGCCAGCTGTGATGTAATGAGCCACCCTCGTTGCTCGAGCTCAATCTAAGGGAAATAATACTGCGTCGGGGGTGCAGTCGTTGGCCCATTGATATTAAAGAGCGACACCTTTACGTACGCGGCGAGGAAGTCTGCCGCGAATTGGCCCGGCGAATTGGCGTACAGCTGAATGTACGCTGCCGTCCGTGCATTTCCTGCGAACGCTTGATCTGATTTCAGAAGCCCTTGCTTCTTCAACAGCAGTTGGAAGTAGGTGACGTCCAGAACCTTCGGAGTAACGAAGTCGAAGTTGGCGCCCTTAGCCCCGGCGGCACACGTTGCGGCCAACTTGCAAGCCAGGACGGGGTCCAGGGTCGGATCTACCGGTGGCAGGCAGCTTCCCGCACCGCCCGAAGTGTTCAATCTGTTAGTGAAATGGATACAACCGGCCTCGCCGATGCTGTGCCCGCCTATCGACCACACGGTGCTCTCCTGGACGCTTAAGCCGAAGCTAGCAAAGGAGTTTAAGATGTCGTCCAATGGTTGGTTCTCGTTGGGCAGAGTAGCGGGATTGTCGCCAGTCTGACTGGGAGCGACGTCCCGTCTTCCCAGCTTGAAGCCGGAGGCAACGACATCGCCGAGGCCGGAGAAGGAGACGGCGGCAGCAGCAGCTCTGGCGATGGTGTCCGCCAGCGTGGGAAGCACGCCGCATTGGGTTGCTGCCTGCTTGCGAACGGCGGTGATGATATCGACCACCTTGCTCAAGCCGTCGTTGACGGGATTGTTAATCTCGGCAGGCTTCAGAATGGAGGCGTCGCAGCCGCCGCCCTTGGTCATGCAGTCGTGGAAAACGAGCCGCAGCAGCGTCGCAGCCCTGGACTGACGTTGGCTGAGTATAGCAGTAGTGGCCGTCTTGATGGCTGCCATAAGACACGATGCATCTGCAGGATAATAAAGAGAAGAATCGATATCACCCTTCGTCGGGCTAGAAGCGTACACCGGAGGAGGAGGGCGAGTGGCGGGGCCGGCCACCGCCGCAGAGAAACACAAGCAGAAAAAGAGGCAGACGCCGTACAGACGACTACGTCGTCGTCGTCGTCCTCCTCCTCCTCCCCCCCCTCCTCCCCGGCCCTTTCCTCCCGAACAACCAAACGCAGAACTCGACACACAATCCATCGTGATGACGACCTCGCAGAAGAACCAGAATGTGAGGAAGGACAACGTGTGTTTGTGTGTGTGTGTGTGTGTTTGTGACGCACAGACACAGACACACACACACACACAGAGAGAGAGAGAGAGAGAGAGAGAGAGAGAGAGAGAGAGAGAGAGAGAGAGAGAGAGAGAGAGAGAGAGGGCTATGGCTTCTCGGGTACTTCGTCTGCCGTTTTCAAACGTCGGCTATGTGATGTAAGATCGATGCGAACCACCGCATTCGCTTTGACGCCGAAAGTCCTCTCCAGCGCCTTTCCCTGGTGTTGCAGCGGCTTATAGCGGTATTCATGTGATGAGACGTGTTTCCTTGCGTCTGGTCCCTGATCCCATCTTAGGGCGTACTCACACTAGCTCCATCTTAAATGTATTTGTACTATTTGACTGCATTTACGGGCGGACCTGGATGCATCTCACCTCAAATACGCACATAAATGAGTGGAACAGTCCTGGTGTGAGTACTACGCAAGGAACCAGTTCGTGAAGATTTTTTTTATTTCTCCACTTTCTCCTTGTTTACTCTTTCCTTTTTTTTTTTTTTTTTTTTTTTTCACTCTATCCTAATATTCCTTTTCAAAAATCGCGACACCGTGGCCCCTTCGCCAGGGTGTGGACGGTTGATCGTGTGGTGTGGCGGTCGGTGGCGCACCACCTCTCTTCACCAGACAGATGTTATGAACGCTATCATCGCTATGCGTGGCGCTCTGTTATGGACCTTTTTTCCTTTTTTGTGGCCCGACGGACCACGGATGAGAACAGGTACTACCTTTAAAAAAAAAAATAATAATAATAATAATAATAATAAAAAAAGAACATGTACTACACTTGATCTTAGCCAAAATTCGAGAAAAGTATTTTATGGACCTTTTGCAAACGTGGCGCTCTTTTATGGACCCTTTTTTCCTTTTTTGTGGCCCCACGGACCACCGATGAGAACAGGTACTGCACTTGATCTTAGCCAGAAGACCGAGAAAAGTATTTCATAGACCTTTTGGAAAGCCAGGAGTGAAAAATGTGTAGAGAAAAAAAAAAAAAAAAAAAAAAAAAAGTGTAGAGAGAGGATGACATTGTATCCTCTTCGCAGGAGCTAAGGGTACAGGCCGAAACGGCTCTCGGCATGTGACTGTGCCCTCCTAAGGTGTAGACCGGTCTTGTCAGCGTTGGGCTGCCCACTGCAGACTGCATTCAATAGTTAGATCGTGTTAGGTGCTCCCCGCAGCACTCTCGGAACTGCTACTATCGATAGTTTCTGTCTTGGCCACACAGCCTGTCGAAATTGGAGACTGGAAGAAAATTGGAGAGTACTCTGTGAGAGAAAGATTCTCGACGCCTCCCTCCTTTCGAAAGT